ATTTATTTAATTTTTTTTTTTTTTTGGGAGGAGATTTCATCTCCATCCCCTTTGATCCTGAGATCAATTCCATCTTGGACAGGTGACTTCCTTTCCCACCTGCCGTGACTTTTCACAATATTGTTTTCACCCCGGAGCAAGAGATTGCTATCACCTTTCCTCCTATTTAAACACATCAGGTTCCCCTTTGGACTAGAAAGATACCTGTCCCAGGAGTTTGTTTCCATGCAAAGAGCAGCGGCCGGGTTTTATCACCCTCGCCAGCTTGGTTCTTATCTTTATTTCTGCTGCGGGTCTCTCTTGTTGTATAGATGACACGCTTGGCTTGGGATGTTATGCCAGAGAAGGGCAGGATGCTGAGAATGAGAAGGAATTGAGCTGCGAACCTGATGACCGAGAAAACTCCGATGACCGTTCGCAGGCTGCAATTTGGTTTTCCGATGGAAAAGACAGAAAGTTATAAAGTTGGGTCACGGTTACAGCGGAAATGGATTTCCTTCCACATCCAAAAATGTCCCACAAATTCTCAGCCTGCATGAATAGTCTCCCAATATTTGTCAGATGGCCAACTGCTGGCCAAAGTGAAATTCTCATTTGGCATCTGAAGATTCAACCGTCATCAAATGAAGGGTCATATTTTATGCCATGGGCTCATAGATCATGTACTGTCACACAATGGAAATCAGAGCCAGTGCGGTGTAGTGATTTGAGTGAAAAAGACCAGAGTTCAAATCACAGAATTCCTTGAGATATAAAAAGTATAAAAATAGATATAAAAATAGATATAAAAGGGTGAGATATAAATTAATAAATTATGCACACAGTGCAACCAGTGTAGTCTAGTGGTTTGGACTAGACCTCCAAAGGACCAGGGTTCAAATTCCCACTTGACCATGGGAACACCCTGGTGACCTTGGGCAAGGCACACTCTCTCAGCCTCAGAGGAATGCCATAGCAAACCTCCTCTATGGATTTCTTGCCACGAATTGGTAAAATATTGTATTTGAACTGAAGACAATAAGATTTAGGTGATCAAAGTCTATACAAACTGGACGAACACAGGAAGTCAGTTGTAAATATGTTTGGAAAATTAAGTCCGATTACTATTTTGAAGACTACTATTTTGTGTATTATTTGTAAAAATAAAATTTAAAAAACCTATTTATCTAGAGCCACTGTGGTATAGTGGCTTGAGTATTGGACTAGGAGACACACACACACACACACACACTTACACACATCACACCAAGACAACCCAGATTTCCCAAGCCTTGATCCATCGCTGGGGGAAAGGTGAGCACAAATGAGCCAATCGCTCTGTAAATACTCCACTCAAGTAGCAACCCAGGCAGAAAAGAGCAATTTATTCTAATGGCTTGGCCAAATCCGGCTTTTGTGTGCTCCAACTGGTTACTAGGGAGTCCAGCCCCAGGTTCTGGTCCTCTGTCTGTGCACAAAGGTTAACCAGTTTCCCAGGTTTGAAACCTCTGCCTTCAGCTCCCCCAAAACCTGGTGTCCTTCAAGTATCCTGGACTTAGGGCAGGGGATCCCAGAACGTGGCCAAAATGTCCCCATGCCACCTAAAGGGTATTATGGAGCAAAACAGCAACAACATTTAAAAAATAATTTTTGGGGAAAAAATTACAGAAAACTTTTTAACCTCCCCTATGGGACCCTGAAGGCCACAAAGACAACCCTGAGGGTCCATCCCTTGCTCCAGAGGGAAACTATGGCCTCATTCCCACTTACCAATAAATTGGTTTGCGATCCAAATCGATGGATCGGTTCAGCAGCGGAGCGTGGTTCACACTATCATTTGCCCCAAATCGCATTTTCTAGCTGTAAAATAACCCACTTGTCGTTCCCATTGACCAATGAATTGATTCAAAATGAATCGGTTCAGCCAGCTGGCAAATTTAAAGGGCAAATTTAAATCGATTCCGATCCGCATTTGATTCACACTTGTACGGAATCGATTTATTGAAAAAGACGTGGGGGAAAAACAGTATCAAAAAGACACACATCAAATAGGTCTAGCACATGGCCCCCTCTCCAAACCACTTCAGCGATTGGGTTCAAGTGCGAACCAGGGTCATTTAAACCATTTCAAACCGGTTTAAAACGTAGTGGGAATGAGATCTATATGTTACTCATACATGCAGAAACAGAGGCGGTTTTTTAAAGGCAAGAGTCACCAATCTTGGTCTACTCCTGTTTACTTTCTCCCTCTTAACCTAGGCTGATAGTCAAGCTGGCATAAGTAGGTCAGTTTCAGCTGGAGATCTCAGTCATAAACCTATATCAAAATGAATAAAACTGGCGGGGCTTTCTTTTCAAGGGGAAGAATGTTTTTGTGCATGTTCATATCTGTGTTTACAGAGCGCCTGGCGCTTCCACCTTGGACCAAGATTCATGCCAAATAACCAAGCTCCCGACCTACAGTATATACTCATGTACAAGTCTAGAGATTTTAGTCAAAAAATTGACCCAGAAAACCTGGGTCGACTTATCTACGGGTCAATGTATAAGTACTGTACTTTAAGTCTTATTTAAAAAAGAAACCATCCCTGGTGAAAGGCAAGAGTGTCATCTGTCCTGAAAGCACTGATGCCTCTCATCCATCCAGTCTTTAGTTACGACTGCTGGAATATTGTAATTTTATTGGCATTGTTTTCTTTGGATTCATCCTTTAGGTTCTTTGTTACATGCTGCGAGATTTTACTCTCGACTTATCCATGGCTCATATCAAAATCCATAATTTTGGCCCTTTAATCTGTCCTCGACTTATACATAAGGTTGACTCATAGTTGAGCGTATGCTGTATTTCTTGACCATTACTCCCTGCAGCCTCAGATCCTATTTCATTTGGGAGCTGGTAGATAGATTTACGTATTCTTGCCCCTGCTTATTTAGAATATTTACCTCCCACTTTATAGCTCAAAGGAGCTCTGGAAAAAATAGTTTACAGCAAGGGCCCATTCACACAACACAATTCAAGGCGCTATGATTCCACTTTAACTGCCAAGGCAATGTCCTATGGAATAGCAGGATTTTCTGCCTAGAGAAAAGTATGGAGAACTCTCATGCAAAAAGAGCTCAAGTGACTCCTCAAATGAACATGATGCAACTTACTTTCAACATTGCATTCAAAGGTATAGACCTGTTATAATGTTATAGGCACAGTATAGGATCCAACGGGGTGTAGTGGTTTGAGGGTTGGACTACGACTCTGGAGACCAGGGTTTGATTCCTGGCTCGGCCATGGAAACCCACTTGGTGACCTTGAGCGAGTCACACTCTCTCAGCCCCAGGGGAAGGCAATGGCAAACATCCTAGGAACAAATCTTGCCCAGAAAACCCCATGATAGGTTCGCCTTAGGGTTGCCATAAGCCGGAAACGACTTGAAGACAACAACAACAACAACAACCAGCACAGTATCCCAGGAGGGGATAGATACAGTGGGCAACCTATCCAGCCAATGGTATCTTCCTTAACTAAAGCATCACTTTTAAAAAGGTGACCAAGGGTCTTCTGATTTAACCCGGCTTTTGCTAGAAGGAGCATAATTGAGGCAGCAGGGAAGCTCCTGCAAGGAGCTCTCAATAGGTTTCACAGCTCAGCCTTTGTAAAGGTTATCTGTCTTATCTTAATTGCCCGCAGCAATGACATTGCTGGGGGAAACTTAATGATGAAATAAATACACTCTGACGAGGATAAAAGCACCATTAGATAAGATCTTCTTCTTTTTAACCCATAGGGGTGCATTATTAATTTACAGTGCAAGGAGATCATCCTGGCACCATGCCCCAGATCTTTGCAGCCTGGCTGTTCTTCGGTTGTCTCGAACCCAGTGACCCCGAGATCTCAGAGGTAGCAAAGCGAAAGGTTCATTCTTGGAATACGACATCTTCTTTGTGTTAACCCTGATGGAAAATTTCAATGATTAACTGGAGAAGGCTCCATTCGTGGAGGACTTGAGTGATGACGCGATGAGCCTTTTTCTAGGGGATGCTTCAAGTGCCTCTTCCGAGTGTGCTCTTATCACTAGATCTGTGCAACGGCAATGTTTCCTGCTACCTGCATTTGAGTGCCTCAATGAACTGGATGGAGTCACACACGAAGGAGGGCTGCAACCTCATTTACTCCAGTTACTTTTATTAACTAGGGGCGGGTCTGGCTTTCCATTTTTGACCCCAGTAACTCTGGTACATCCCCACGTTTGCCCCCATGTTTGCCTTTGGGAGTTATCTTGAACAAGATACTATTCCAAGGAGACAGGGTATAATTTTATCCTCCTAGAATTTTGTGGCAATTGCACAACACAACTTCATTAGTGGATTGCAACGTTGTACAATCTCATGTGCAACCAAATGCACATGTGCATCTACACTGCGCAATGCACCAGATGAGCAATACACTTTTATGTAGAATGCATATCTACTTGGACAATGCACCAGGGGAGCAATGGACCACATGTGCAATGCACCAGATGAGTAATGTACATGGATGTGTAGTGTGTATCTGTAAGTGCAATGCACTGGATGAACAATGCACAATGTGTAACTCCATGCACAATGCCCCAACTGTGCAACTCTGCCTCTGTAACCTTGCACTGAACACAGACGTTTCGCGTATGACAAAAAATGTCCAGCTATTTCTGCAGGACAACGTATGTAAGACACTAAGAGGACACTAGCCCTTGTTGAAATGTTGTGTATTCTCATTTGTGTATTATATAACTGTGTTTATTATCAGTTCAGTTCCATTTTATTGTATATAACCTAAGGTCACCACAGGGTAAAGAAGAAAAAGGAGCCAGTATGTTATCAATAAAGCAGAAGGCAACACAATTCAACAGTGAGAGAGGATAAATCAACCCTAGACTCCCAGATTTAGGCTAAGGGACCTTTGAAAAAGGCTGGGGAGGGTTCTCAGTTTTTAATGGTTATGTCGCCATGGGTCGAAATTGACGCAAAGGCAGTTAACAACAGCAAGTGGAGCCAGTATGGCATCATGGTTTGAGTGTTGGACTACAACTCTGGAAACCAGGGTTCGATTCCCAGCTCAGTCAAGGTGACCTCAGGTGAGTCACACACTCTCAGCCTCAGAGGAAGGCAATGGCAAACCTCCTCTGAACAACTCTTGCCAAGAAAACCCAGTGATAGGATTGCCATAAATTGGAAATGACTTGAAGGCACGCAACAAATTTTCACTTTAACACTGTGAAACTATGTACATGTAAATACATTTAGGTTGTGTGTATGACATTGTAATTGCAAGCTATACTTTTAACTTTGCTAGTTGTTTATGTCACAACTGTTGCCATTACATTCAGTAAAGGTATGTGGGAACTGTGATTTATGAGTAACATTAGTACAAAAAACATTACTAAGGATTCTGTATGGTGCAGTATGAGAGGAGGAGATCAATGGGGGGGGGGGATGCGGCATTATAAGTTACTCTGTGCTGGCCAAATGGCCGTAATAAAGAAAGAGAAGATAAGTGACTGTACCGGACGACACCATTGCACCCATCCTAAATTTGAAAAGCCCCAAGGACTTGAGCCTTCCCTTCTGCAAAAGATATGACGGTCAGCCTGATCATATCATCATCATCATCACAGCCCAAGACTAAGGTCAGGGAGTTTGATTCTCTTGCATTAACAAATATAGCTGAACTCCTTGGCTGCGTGTCCATGTTATTTTCTCCACCCCTATTGACGGCAGTGGCTATTGCTGGAACAGAAATCCACTGAGACGTAACCAAACTCAATTAAATACCTGCCCAGTTCTCTGGCTCCAAGGGAAGGTCAAAAACAACCCTTCCTTTCAGCCAGCGGTCGGTCGGTCGGTCCTTGCCAGGCTCATTCAACAGCCCCCCAAATGCCAATGCTTTGGCCGCTGTTCTCTCAGCAAAGGAACAGAGCTGACCAACACTCTCCTTGACGTCAAAGGCCTCAAAAGTTTCCCTACTTGAGATTCAGTCGGCCGCAGGCAGCAAATCGCATGCACAAAAAGGAAAGCATCTCTGAGTGTTTTGGGTGGGAGAAGAGGAAGGTTTGCAAAATTCTGAATGCCTCTGGTGAGAAATGGGAAGACGCTATCGCTACAAGCATTCGCATTTCCCTCCCCTCCAAAATTTTCTTCCTAAGAACCCCTTAAAAGCAATGTAGAGATACCTCTGCAAAAATCCAGAGCTTGCAAAAGTGAATTTGGGGACTACAGCTCTCCTTATCAGCATGGCTAGGGGATGCTGGGAATGGTAGTTCAGAAGATTAGCTTTCCCCACACTCTGCCAAAAGTTGCTCATGTGTTCTACGGATGCCATGGGCTGCTAAAAAGACAAAGGAATGGGTCTTAAGAGCAAATCAAGCCCGATTTTTCCCTAAAAGCCAAGATGGCTAAACTGAGGCTGCTGTATTTTGGACATATCATGAGAAGACATGACACATTAGAAAAGACAATGTTTGGTAAGGTAGAAAGCAACAGGAAAAGAGAAAGACCACATTTCCAGCTGCCCTGAGTTTGCAAGACCTAAAAAGCGCTGATGGTAACAGGATAATTTGGTGGTCTTCTCATTCACGTACATGTGTTTGTGCCTTCAGGTCACCTGTTGACCTATGGCAACCCCATGAATTTCATAGGGTTTTCTTAGGCAAGGAATCCTCAGAGGTGGGTTTGCCAGTTGCTTCCTCTGAGATATGTTGTTTTTTTTTTGTTGTTGTGTGACTTCAAGTCATTTCCAACTTATGGCAACCCTAAGTGACCCTATCCTGGGGTTTTCTTGGCAAGATTTGGTCAGAGGAGGTTTACCCTTGCCTTCCCTTGAGGTTTAGAGAGTGTGACTTGCCCAAGGTCACCCAGTGGGTTTTGTGGCCAAGGTGGGGGAATCAAATCCTGGTCTTCAGAGTCATAGTCCAACACTCAAACCACTACACCACATATGATCGATAGGGTCACCATCACCATAATTGATGGCAATTAACAAACTCCATATAGCTAGTCAGTAGCGTGGAAGGATTTCTGCTTCTTGGGCATCTCCTTTTATGTTTTTATGGAAGCTGTGAAGCAAAAGGACTTCTGAGAAAGGAGCATGATATTCTGGCCAGCTCAGGTTTAACCCAGTACCTGTGATGTTTTGCAATTGAAAAGGTAAATGATGCCTTTGCTTATATCGCCCTCCTGTGGAAGACTCAGGACAGTGCCAGGCTGGTTCTTTCAAAACACAGCTTGGAAGATTTCCTATTCTTGCTGTTCCTATGGGCTTGCCAACTTTCTAAACAGCAACAGTCTGCCTGCCTTTAACCACAACCCAGACCCTATTTACACTACAGAGTAGTAGTAGTCTGATCCCACTTTAACTGTCCTGGCTTCATCTTATGAAATCTTGGGACCCGGGGTTGGTTGAAGGACCTAGAAATCTGTGCTAAAGAGCCCTAGTCTAAAGATCTGAGGAGTGCATTATAACTTGTTGTTGTGTGCCTTCAAGTCATTTCTGACTGATGGTGATCCTAAGGCAAACCTATTGTGGGGTTTTCTTGGCAAGATTTGTTCAGAGGTGATTTGCCATTGCCTTCCCCTGAGGCTGAGAGACTGTGATTTGCCCAAAGTCATTCAGTGGGTTTTATGGATGAGTGGGGAATCAAACCCTTGACTCCAGAGTTGTAGTACAACACCAAAACCGCTACCTTTAAATAGGTCCAGGATGTCGGATAGCTCCAAGGTAGAAGTAAAGTCAACAATAAGGGGAGCCAACTAATTCTACTTTTGTTCCTTTTCTCTTCCCTTGCAATGTCCCTGCAGAGCAGCTTGTGAATATGAAGCATCCAAATGAACCTAATGAAATGAATCCGTCTCTTCTGCTAGTTCGAGCAATCTTGCCAAGAAAACCCTAGGATACTTTCTTTTTAG